ATTCAAGACTTTAAAATTCATCTATCCAGTTTTAGAACTTTGATATCCAATTTACCAATTATAGAGTTGTGAAATTCCATGGTTTTACAACTTTGGAGTCATTTATCTATTTTTTTTTAAAAATGTAGGTTTGTTATGTCTGACATACTCAGCAAGACTTCACTTCTCCAGTACAGGGACATGAAGGTCCAAATTGTTCGTTTGAATGACATGAAATTCACTTGCAACATTTAGATGTATGGAGATCCATGTTTAAATGGAAAAAAGAATACATACTAAACTCTCAAGAGGGACAAATAGTGATACATTCTGAGTGCAATTAGAATTTATATATTTAATGTATTTAGCTAATATTTTGAATGCTACATCCAACTTAATGTGGGAGGAATATCCAACTAGGCTCATGAAGGCTTGAACTTATACTTGCATTTGTCTAGAGGGTTACTTGAAGATTGCTGATTGAAACTCAGAGGACAAACCTTAAACTAATTCTAGAGGAGTTAATCACATGGTCTGTAAGGGTATTCAATACTCAATAGTCACTACACAATGAACTATAAAACTAAAGGGTACACCAAAAAGGTACCTCTAACCTGGTTGGCTTGGTTTTCTTTTTACTTTTTGGTTCATAGGGTGTTCACGGCATGCTATGGACAATGAGGTTTTTCCAAACTTGAGCTATTTGTGTCCATAACGTTTTCATGATCTGAGGCTTTGGTCTCTATGTTCCTTCTCACTTGCTGCTACTGTGTTGTGCATTCCAGTTACCCAGTAATATTAAACATCTTTAACTTTAGCACGCTAACTTTTAGAAATATTACTATCTAAAACTGCAACTCATCAGTATAGCTGTCCTCGAACCATCTTATATATTTTTATGAGTATTGAATTTAAATAGTGTGCCTCTCTCAACATATAATTTACTGAAGTGCATATTACATTTAGCTATTTATTTAAGGAGTGACAACCTCCCCATGACACCATGATCACGATGGATCCTATTTTGTAATTTTAGACAATGCAAATTTATCAAATGAGTCAATTTGTTAACTACAAATGAGAATGAAGTTTGCCGCAGAAACATCAAATGACTTGAATTGAATCACAAATGCCCAAAGATGAAACTAATTTCCAATGTAACTAATTGAAAAACATGTAAAAGCAATGAACATACGTTCACAACCACCAATGTGATTTCCACCAATAAAAACAATCGGCAATTTCCTTTGAGCAGTCCATTCTGCTAGTGCAGATTGTATATCAGATCCATCACCTTCATATAACAGATCAAAGTCAGAAATAAGATATTAACTCATCATTCACATTGAAGACTAATAAATGAAAGAATATTATTTGTACTAGACAGTAGATTCAGATGCTAAGACTAAGATCCATGGATAAAACAGTCATTCTTGAAATGTAAAAACAGCATAAAATCAGTATAAAATAAGACAGACTATTATTTGTAGTAAATAATTACTTGTAATCTGAATATACTCATATTAAAAATGACCCAAGAAGTGCACTCACTTTCAAGATCCAACTCAATCACTTTAAAACCAACTCCTAATTGTGTGAGCAACACCTTTACCCACTCACAGTGTGCGCAGTTTGTCTTGCTGCAGCAACCAAAAGCAATGAGTAAAGTCAAGCAAGAGAAAATTAAAAGATTGACAGAAGCAGAGGAAATAATCAAATATTTGCAAAGATAATATAAATCCTTCATTCATGTACTATAGAGCCTCCAAATAAAAAAATATCATAAATACCAGAAAACAAAAAGGAGAAACTTTCTGATTTATGTTATCATATGAGCAATGAAAAACAGGAATGAACTATACAAAGAGCTCCACAACTTAAATGGAAAAAGAAACATCAGTAAGGCATCGTACTAAAATAACCACTTGAAACTTGAAAAGCAGTGGTAAGGAAAACATCATTAATATAGATAAAGAAAACAGTGAGAAAACAAGAAAAACCTTGAACCATTGTACCAAGAACAACAATAACAAGCCATACTGTCCCAACCATTTGACCACATGGATCTTTTCTCACTATTGAGCTTTGTACAAGGAACTATCTCTAGTTAAATTAAAGACCATTCAAAACTATTTTATAGTTTCTAGTAAAACCTTCTTATATCTCCCTCTCTCTCTCCCTGATAACACTAATTTTAATAGACTCACCTTGTCTAACTACAGCATCCAAAAGTCTCATTTGAGTATATCTATATCATTTTAGAAAAACCCTTCATAAACATTGATTATCTGAGCCGCCCAGTAGCCTAATAAGTTGTAGAAGCTGCCCTTAACATGGCCCAAATTGATTATACCAAAGTTATCAAACGACAATCTCCAAATTTGCAGATACTAATTTCGTACTTTCTTATCTGCTAATGTGAGGACCATTAATGTGTCACAATGTCCTCTACAAATAAGCCTAACATCCTCATCATGATAGTACACAACTCAGAATCCATCTCAGTGGTTCTGATATTAGACCAATTCAAGATAGCTCTCCCTAGGGGTTTCTACATGAGACCAACTCGAGGAAACTACCACCTGCGCGTGCATGGTACACAACATGGCATGTGTTAACTAACAAAAATGGTAGCTCCCGTATTAATAAGAAAGAAAAAGGGGGGGGGCCGCCGGTGGGGGGGAACTTATCAGTATCTTAACATGAGTTTTTCCTGCATGCAACTAACCATTCATAAGATGTTGTGCCTAAAGAAAAGGAAATGAATGAAATCCTAGCACATGTTGCGTCATGAATTCAGATTGGCTTTCTTGTGCCACACATTAATGAACCTAAATTCTTGTAGCTTCCGCAATAACCATTGATGTGTTTGCTTCATCCTTCAAACTGTTGCATCATGTCAAAACCAAACGTACACAGTTTTGTTGTCTAGATCTTGTTCAGCTTATTCTAGAAACTTATCTACCATTGAGGCAAACGATATATCAACTTGTCCAATGTAAGTGCTCTCAATACATCGGAGCACATATGAGCCACCAAACAATGCTTCATCTATTTCGATGACGAAATGGATTCCAATCGAAGCATCAGTCAATAACATGAGTTCTTCACTTCCACAAACAAACTCAAAACCCATTCTCCTTCTCCATACAATAAACAAAGAAAACAGAACTCCCAGATAACTGAAGAAACAACCTAACGCATACTATAATCTAACTCGATTAAACGGGCACGAACTCTGTCCTCTAAACATTCCCCGTATCCTCTCTCATTTAGCGTTCGAGAACCCCCGACCTTTGTATTCGTTAGTCGGTTCAGGAGACCCTAACCGATCACGATCAGCGCATCCCGAGGTAACTGATCGTATCGAACAAGGAAAAAGCCTACAAAATCGAACCGACACGAACTAGAGATTGGGCCCTAGGGATCCAGCGATGAAGGAAACGATCGGATCGACGGGAAAGGGTGAAAGATGCGAGAAAGAAAGGCACCTGAATACGACGACGGGAGCGGAGGAGACGAAATCCTTGGCCTTGGCGAGCGCCATTTCTTCGATTCTGCAACCCTAGCGAGCAATATCTCCTCCGTGGGAAGCAGCCGCTCGCCTCCCCACGCCCCCCCCACCCCCAACTGGGAAGCTGAAACGGGCCGGGGCCGACTCGAACAGGGTCGATCAAAGTCCACAGCTCGAGCTCAACATTAACCCGCAATCAGGGATGAAGCGGGTCAATTTTCCTATATATATTGTCGATTTAGGGGCGTCTATTATTTAAATGAGCGATTTCCTATATAAGATGCTCCTATTTTGATGACAATTTTTCTTTTACCATTTATAATTTCTTACTATTGATAATTCTATTAATAATAATAATAATAATATATTTTTACTATTTATCATTTTTTTATCTATTTATTTTTATTTTTCTCACGACCCCTAATTTCCTTCGCATTATTATTTATCTACTCGCTGTCGTCACCGATATCGTTTGCTGTCGACGCTACTCGAAGTCGTCCGATACTGCTCGAAGTCTACGGAGGAAGAAGAAGAAGAAGAATAAAAGGATGAGTATGAAGAATGAAAAGAAAAGAGGAAGCGTTCTTCTTCGTGGGGAAAGAGGAAATCAAATTAAGTGCGTCAGCCCCCTCTGTCTTTTGAAAGACGAAGCGTAGCTCTCTCGTTCCAAGTACAGCAAGGCATTAACGTCTCTTCTTTGCTCTCTCTGTCCACCAATATAGTCAATAACTGAGAGCTCCAGACCGAATACGGCTTACCTGATAAGCTTTCTCCCACACATAATAGCTTAGCAGGAGAAGAACCATTAAATCTAGGAGAAAGATGGCTTGGAGATGTTGCTGGTGAGGCCCCGAAGCAGATGAGTGGGTCCTTCTGTTGGTCTTGGACGAAGAAGAGGAGGAGGAATAAGAAGATTGATAGAGTATTTATGATTATATTTATACAAATATTTTTAAAAATTAAAAAAAAAATATATATTTAATAATAATAAGGGGTTGTGAATAATAATCTTTTTTTTACTTTTCTGTCTTGAATTTTTTATAATATTATGAATATCATTTTTTTGCTAATCCATCGTCTTGATTGCCTTCGCCTGTTAGTGTCGTTCATTCTTTTTTATCTTCGTACTTCATCTGTTGTCCTCGTAGTCTCTACCCTTATTCATCATCGTAAAGTTTTATCATCTCTATGTGATATATTTTTTACCCATCTTACCCAATTACATAAGCCTACGGGAGCAAAATTTTCATGCACCTCTTCTCGCACATCACCTCTGTTTTTAGGCGTTGGCAACGAAGATGAGGAACAGGAAATGATCGGTAGTGTTAATAGAGCAAATATAATAGTGAGATTCTATATATATATATATATATATATATATATATATATATATATGTATATATATATATATATATGTATATATATATATATATGTATATATATATATATATATGTGTGTATATATATATATATATAATATTTCCATGACTTACTGGTACGACTTGATTTCCTCTGGACGCTCTCGTTTCCCCTTCCGATTCCCAACGAGCGGTGCGGCTCCCGGGTCCCATGGCTGAACCCGCCCTGCAGCAAGCGCCGGCCAACGACGGCCCCGCTGCCCCCGCCGTGGAAGCTACCCTCCCCGGCCCGGGTTCCAAGCGGCAGCGCCGCCCCAGCGTCCGCCTCGGCGACATCGGTGAACAGCCGGCGGCCATTCCGCACGAACCATTCGTTCGCCGGAGCAAGCACTGGAAGCACTCCGCCGCTGCTGGGAGAGATCATCCCCGCCACCCTCATGCCTCCAAGGCACGTCCCGTCATCACTCCCGTCCCCGACGGCTCCAGGGAGTCTCCGGGCTTTTACCAGGCACCGCCGTCTTCCGCCGCGGGCAACGGGGTGCTCCTCCCCGTCGACGAGAACCTCGAGCCTCTTTCCGTCGGGGTAAGGCGGTACCGCGACGCGAAGGCCCGGAGGAGCGGCGCCGGCGGGGCTGCGGGCAGGCGGGCGAGGTCAAGCTGGACATCCTCCAAGGTCGATGAGAGCATCGACGCCACCGCTGCCGACTTGAAATCGAGCGGCGGGGAGGACGCCGGAGAGGGAGGTTGCAGGGAGTTTGATGATCTCCGGGCGGAGGATTCCGAGAGTCCATCCGATAGAAGAGAGGCGGCGGCGGCATTTAGGGTTAGGGTTCCGGAGACCGAGGATATGGGACACGATGGAGACGCCCCGGAAGGAGATGCGCCATCAGAGAACGACGGTGGGGATTGGAACGATCAGAATGGACGGTGTGGATTGCTCGAGGATGGAGGAGTTCGAACGTGGCTGAGCCGGCTGGGGTTGGATCGCTACGCTCCATTGTTTGAGATCCATGAAGTGGACGATGAGGTGCTTCCTTTGCTCACGATGGAAGATTTGAAGGACATGGGGATCAACGCCATTGGGTCGAGGAGGAAGATGTACTGTGCCATTCAAAAGCTCAAGAAAGGATTGCCGCAAGAGTCCTTGCATGAAGAGTGTGGTTAACTGCAAACAAAGTTGTGGCTTTTTGCTGGGAAGGATGGAATTGCTTGCCTGAAATGGTTGGTTGGGCTGCCTCTGTTCTCTATAGGGATTGGTCTCAAGTTAATTTGGTATACACACAGTATCGTTATGCTTTTTCCCCTTTTTTTTGTTAGATGTAATTCTCCCAGATGTTGTAGATTTTGGTATCTGTTTTCCCTTTATACAGTCTTGTGATCCAGCTTAACTTTGGTGAACTTGTCAGTAGTTGTGATCAGTAGCACTTTAGATGGAAATTCATGATAGTGTTGTCAAAATCCAGATATAAATGTGAAACTACGGTTTTGAAAATTGTAGTCTGAGGTTAACCAGACCTGTTTGGAATTCGATTTGATCCACGTCATATTGGTTGCATGTATTGATCATTGTTTACAGCACTCATCTTTTATATTTTGTTATGTTTTTAGGATTAATGGTGTGGATGGTAGTTTATACTTCTAAATTTCTTCGAGACATAGAGATGATTAAGTATGATAAATAGATGCTTGGTTTTATGTTACTCATTCTCTGGTGCATCTTCAAATTTAAAATGTTCTTTATTCAACTCATTGAACACAATGGGATGATTTTTTTATGTTTCTTACACTTTTGTCGCCATAAGCTTGTTTAAATCACTCAACATCTTTCCACTTCTCATGCTCTTTTTGAGACAGAGATGATTAAGTATGGAGATGATTAAGTATGATAAATAGATGCTTGGTTTTATGTTACTCATTCTCTGGTGCATCTTCAAATTTAAAATGTTCTTTATTCAACTCATTGAACACAAAGGGATGATTTTTTTTATGTTTCTTACACTTTTGTCGTCCATAAGCTTGTTTAAATCACTCAACATATTTCCACTTCTCATGC